GTTTCAGTAAAAGTTATCATTATGCACCAATCTCATCTTTCAATTTCACAGTGTTGTTTTATCATATAATAGTATATTCTGTTTTTATGTCTAACAAATACATGTCGGAGCCTTATAATGTTGTAGTGCATGGGTCGGCAACAGGCGGCCCGCGGGCCATTGTTGGCCCGCCAGCAATAATATTTGGCCCGTAATTTTGAGAATAAAAAATAAAAAAATATTTTTAGATTTTTTTTTTTTTTTTTTTTTTTACAACATCGGACCGACAGTCGCACATATAGGCTATAATGTCCGAATAGAGAATCTACCTACACCTGAAGAATGCTTATTGTACTTTTATCTATGTTGAGAATGAATGACATACAGCACAGGCATAATCAGGCAGCGGGGTACACTGACGTCAATTAAAGTACTTATTTAAAGGACACCTATCATGCTATATTTAAATGATATATTGTAGGGCCATACCTATATAAGGTATATTTATACGTTTCTGTTTTCAAAATACCAAACAGATCATGCATTTTAGCCATGCCTCATTTCACTCTATTTGGCCCAACCCCACATTCCCCTGATAGGTGGAGAGTTGGCCCAATAGCCGTAGCGCCACCGTCCTGACGTCAGGACAGTGTTCAAATCTGGATCAGTTTTTATCAGATCCGTTGCAGCCCCGTTTTTAGAGATTTGGGTATGGAGGAAAATAGAGAGGGTTGTGTTTTCTGACACTTGGTGAGTTCCCTGGATCACCGGGGACACATATTCATGTATAAAAGACGTACAAAAGTGCATTTTGCATGATAGGTCCCCTTTAACTATTAAATACATTGAGTTTGAGTAAAATACTTGGTTACTGATTAATTTAGGTTATAATATATTAAATAAATTGCAAAGCAAAACATGCTGTAATTTATTTATTTTGTATTTTTTTAAAGGTTTTCAACCTGAAAGAATCCTAATGTCTCCTTGAAAAGTTGAAATAAAGAAAAGGAAAAAGGATTCCAGTTGTCCATGTGTCCTCTGTTGCCCCTCAAGCCTCTCAAATGTGGGCAAACACTCAAATAAATGCCAAAAACCCAGAGAACTTGACAATACTTATCAGAATAAAAGTATGTTAAATAACACTGCTACCTAGTTAATAACTCACTCAGTGGAGGCTCGTCCATTGAAGAAAGGGAGGACCATCCTCCCTAAAATTTCAGAAAAAAATAAACTTTGAAGAGCACAACAAATACACCTCAATTTAAAAGATAAGTCTGTTAAAATACAGATAATAGCCCTGACTTTTAACATGGGACTGAAATGGGGCTAGAGACGACGAGCCTCCCTTTGGGCGGGTCTATCCAGAGGCTCTGGATTGGGCGCCTATATCATCAGTGAACCAATCAGCGGATCTGACTGTGCATCAGAGTGTTGATGGGGAGGGTTATCAGGGATATCAGAGTTTTTTCTGAACCAGGGAACAGGGGCGCTGCGCCCTCTTACCAAAATCAATTCCTTGAATTAGGCTTTGATTATGTTCTGGCCCGCCATCTTGTGGCTCAGCAAAAAATTGGCCCACGGCCAAACTTACTTGCCTACCCCTGTTGTAGTGTGTCAAGGTGGAGCCAATTGTATATAAGTAGTACATTCTGCATCATATCATCATGTTTCGTATGTCAAATGTTACAAGTAGCCTAACTGAGTGTCAGATATCTATAGTTGAGTAAACAAATATAAAATCTAGAAGCATTACATTTAAATACTCAAGTAAAGAACCAGTTAGTTATGTAAAAAAAAAGCCTTTAAAGGGGACCTATCATGCAAAATGCACTTTTGTACGTCTTTTATACATGAATATGTGTCCCCGGTGTTCCAGGGAACTCACCAAGTGTCAGAAAACACAACCCTCTCTATTTCCCTCCATACCCAAATCTCTAAAAAAGGGGCTGCAACGGATCTGATAAAAACTGATCCAGATTTGAACACTTTACTGACGTCAGGAAAGTGGCGCTACGGCTATTGGGCCAACTCCACCAATCAGGAGGAGACAGCCACGGCCATTGCCGTTCGAAAGTGCTGGAGACGCTGTAGTACATATGCCAGGCCTGTAAGTGGCGCTGTAGTATGCCACAAAAGCAGCGAAGAAGACTTGGTTACCATGGTTACCCTTCTGTTTATTCTCCGCTGTGGCTTTCTTTCTCCCTCCCCGAGGCAAGCGTTTGCTCCCGCTGCTTTAATGCAATGCAATCCCTCCCCGTCGAGGCAAGCACTGTAATTCTCTCCGGTTAGTCCACCAGCAGATGACAAACACCCACCTCTCCGCCTCTTCCAAGGAACGAGGGGACCGTGCGGCAGAGTTTCAGTTTCAGTTTCTTTCGCCGGTCAAGATGTCCGTTAAAGTTTAAATCTTCCGGACAAAATGAGAAAAGTGCCGGTCAAAGGTCTTTGTTATTTATTGAGCTTTAAAACAAATGAATAACGACTCTATATAATAAAACACGGAGGACGGAGATCTCTTTTTCTCCCCCTCTTCTGACAGCCCAGCAGCTGATCTGGGGCCTCATTTATAACGCCTTGCGTAGGATTCACGTGAGAAGGTTGCTTACGTAGTACAAAGCAAAAAAATAGGTACAGAAATGTTCCGACATTTTCCGATTCACAAAACATTGCGTACCGGCGTAGGAAGTGCGTACGGCACTTCCTACGCCTGTTTCCCTTAATAAATCACAATCGACTCGTAACGCCCATATTTGCCTATAAATAGTCAAAGAAACGCCCATTCATTCATTCATTTTGACTGACTGCATGAAGAAGATCGCAGGAAATTACGACCGAACAGCTAAAAAAGACATCTCGCACCGTGTCAGATTTTGGTTATTTTGGGGAGGTCGAGATAAATCATATTGTTTGGTGGATGCAGTTTGAACCAGAGTAGCAGCATGGAGGTCGGATCGTCACCAAAATAAATAAATAAGTGGTCCGAAAAAAGTTAATGACAAAAAAAATACACATAACCTAACCTTCCTCAGGCAGTGTGTTTGTACCGGGGACAGGAGACACCCCCTTGATGAGAAACTGTAAGAAATGATCGGGGAATCCCTCCGGAGTGGAGTCATGACGACTGGATCTGAATTATTTTGTTGGATTTGGTGGTTTGTGTTCCAGCTGTCGATCAGCAACTATATATCCATAATCCACCAGTTAAAGGAAATACAACTAATGTGTTGTGTTATATTAGCTGTACAATTTACCACATATGGTGTTCTTAGTTTCCATACCTCCTGTGTTTTACGAGCGACTTATCAAGTCTTGGCAAATGGCATAAAACACGATTAAACGTGATAGTATATAAAACCATGCTCGTATCTACAACCTATAGAAATGCAAAACGGCGTCAGTTTAGACGTAATTCTGTCCTCCTGCTTACCGCATCATTTATGAGAAAACATTTCATAACATTAACACAACATATTTGAGGTGGTTTTAAATAACATATCCGTATTTATTTATTTCTCCAAGTTATGTTTTTGTGTGCACTGAGGAGTCTCAAACAGGCGTTTTTTTTTTATCATTTTAAGATTGGCTTTAATCAATGTTTGAAAATGAATTCTTCATATTTGATAAATGAGAGGTAACATTTTATTTATGGTATTATTTCCACATATTTCTCTCCATTCTTCCTTCTGCCAACGGTGTCGCAGTTTCTCGTCTCTCCCGTTGTTGTGCTTAGTGCGTACGCATGGGTTAGAGTTTGCGTGGAGGACCGCACATTTTCCCGTCAAGTTAGTATTTTATAAATCGCAAACATTGCGTAGAAACTGGTGGACGACATTTTTTTAGCGTATATCCCTTTATAAATGAGGCCCCAGAGCACGGCTCCCCTGTCCTGCAGGGGGGCGTGGTCAGCTGCAGCTCACAGAGATCAGCCCCGTAGACAGCAAACAGCACATAGAGCGAAATGAGGCATGGCTAAAATGCATGATCTGTTTGGTATTTTGAAAACAGAAACGTATAAATACACCATATAGGTATGGCCCTACAATATATAATTTAAATATAGCATGATAGGTCCACTTTATAAGACGAGATAAACCTATTTAATGGCATACAACATAGTAGCAGCTCCATTACGCATTAAAACGTTTTCTGTAAAATATAAAGTTAATATGACATTAAAATAAAACATCAGCCACTGCAAAGTTTTATTTCAGACTTTATAAACACACTTACATATGTAACAGTCAATGTCAACTGTTCATACATTCAGTCAAACTAGAAGCTGTTACAGGTGTTACTTTTGAGTTTTCTGTCGTAAAATAAACATTAGTATTTACATTAGTTGATCACATTTTTTAAGTCAATGCAGTTCAATTTGCTGAATTAATTTTAAACCCCCTATCTCCATGACAACCAAACAAACCATAAGATGGTTACACGTTGAAATCTCCAGAAAAAGCAAGTGAATGAACCCTGGAGTTGTAAATCTAAGAGGGCATATTGACGGATTAATCAACCCTGAAGTCACAAAAGCATGCATTTGCAGAGACTTCCTGAGAACGATTTATTTTGGGAGCCTCTAGCAGATTTATCTTTCAACGCTTTTTGCTTATTGTGTTCGAGAGGTAGTTTCCTGTGGGAAGTCTCAGCAGAACCAATGTGAAAACTACAAAGTGAGACTATTAAAACTAACCTGGCTATGAGAAATGTATTTGAAAGCGTATGTGTTTGCAGGATTATTGCTGAATTTGTATCCTCGTGGTTGATTGCAATTATAAAAAAACCTTTGGATGAAGGTCAAATGTAAAAAAAAGTTGTGGGTTAAAAATACATTAGGAATATGCTCATACGTTTTTTATATTAAATACAAATAATGTGACTCATACTCATGGCTGGTCACACCTTTACCCACACAAACAAACAAACAAACAAACAGCTGATGGTCACACAGGGGGAGTTTAACATTAAATACAGAAAGTAAGATGACGTTATAGAGAAATGACAGAAATACAAAGTGTACTCACTGAGAACGAAGAAGATCAAACTGTGGCAGACGTCCATGTTCGAGTCTCTGATGGTTGAACGCTGTCTCTCTTTCTTCTTCACCGGCAAACCAACATGTTTTCACTTCTCTAAACGATGGAGTCCCTGCTTAAAATACAACACAGCTTTACTCTCCTCTCTAACACCTGCATGTGTATCACGTATGGTTTCACTTTAAAACTTTGCAACTTAATGCAGCAAAATAATATATTTTGCTTTTAACATTTAAATAATTTAATGTTAAGTGTGTGGAAAAGTGTACTTTGTTTTAAGCCAAAAAAACATATTATTGTCAGACACATTTCAGAAATGTTTTATTTTTATCCCAAGAACATTATCCAGAGTACAGAGCAGGAAGAGGCCGAATACAAAATACAATATAAAAAATAAAACTCCATAAAAATGGTACAAATCCAAATACATGTACAGTATAAAACAATACAAACAAGTCATAAGGATTATACATATGTGCGAGTGGCATCTTGTATCCCGTACTGACCACATCACCTGGTTGAAGTAATATAGTTTCATATCAATTTATTTATATTCCGCTATAATTAAACATTTCTGTAAATCAAGTTTTTAACCAAAATAGTCAACCGTAATTTGAAGCAAAAATACCTAATGCTAATCTGCTAACTTTACTAGAACAGTTTATCTTACAAATATAACTTTAATACCATATATATATTGTAATAAAATCAACGTAATAAATACATTGAAGCTGTAAAAAGAGCTTTTTACATTAAATATAATTTAGCTGACGCTTTAATCCAAAGGGACTTACAATAAGTGCAACCAGCTTTGACCTGAAGCAAACTGTTGAAGCGGCACGTTTGTGAACTAGAGCAGAGCTGGACTTATCATCACATGAGCAGGTCATTCAAAGCAGGTTTGAAATAAGTAAATGGTTAAATAATCTTACATATTCCCACAAACATCTCTAGTTTCAGAATATGTTCACGGCTGCTTGATTCACACCAGCTTCTTCTGCCAGACTGTGAGAGTTATTGGGGGTCGTTAACAGTAGAGTACAGTAGAGTACAGAGGGGGCTCATCAGAGCTAGCTTCCACCTGAGGAACAGAGTAGATAACACACTCAGCGTCACCGTGGAAACCGCTGTGGGACGAGCCGACGCTGACAAATGTGATCTCGGAGTAGGCGTGTTGACTCGGGTCGTCTTCAGCCTGGAGAAAAAAACATTGCTTGATTAAATGTGTCTTTAACAACAGAACAAAACAAGCAACTGGACTTGGTTGTAAAGTTACGTCATCAAAACAAAAAAAAAGTTGTGTTTAGGTCTTTTTTCATATTTACACATATTATTTTACTGCAGACATTGTCCGAAGTGAATCAAATCTGGCATTTCAGTAAACATGAATAGAACGCAGCAACAGGTGCAAAAGTGAAGCCCTACGGAGCTAATGTCTTGTGATCCCAAAGTTAGAATTGTATAACTTTTATCGGTGTATTTTGTAAACTAGCTGCAGCAAAATTGTTGTAGTAATAATTGGTTTTGGCTCAATTTGTGTTTATTTGGAGATTTTACATGATGCTTGTACACTTTGTTGGTCTACAGAAGAATGTATTAATATGATGCTCATATTTTCTCAAACTTACCTCCGGTGCAGAAGCATGTTGTGTTTCCACATGAGGTTCTGAAAAACACAACAGTACTTTGAGAAAAAGATAGATTTTCAAACATGACATCACACATTCCCCATTTGAACAAATATTTAGGCCAACCATTAAGATATGAGTAAAACAAGATAAATAGATGTGTTTTGAGTTTGTAAACAATAGAATATACAGTATATTTAATCATTAACCACCCTGCCACATTTAAATTACTTAAGAAAATTGAATAAGAATATAAAATAAAGTTTCAATGAAAAAAATAACAAGCTATGGCTGTACATGTTTCTAATGCATATTAACTTGAAAAAAGCCACTTATTTTTAATGCTGTAAATGAATATCCGTGCACCCAATCTGGTGTTGGGGGATGGACATTTTATGTGAGAAAGTTATTTTAGAATTGTGCGTCTGATTTTAAAGTTAATATTGGTCAAGAGAAAACTACAACTTTTCAGTGAGAAATGTTTTGTGTGTGTGTGTGTGTGTGTGTGTGTGTGTGTGTGTGTGTGTGTGTGTGTGTGTGTGTGTGTGTGTGTGTGTGAGTGTGTGTGTGTTACCTGGTTCCTCACGTTTGGCTTTACAAATCCTCTTCCTGCAGAATACCAGCACAGACAGTGATGACACGATGACCAGGACGACCAGAGTCAGAAACACATACACGATCACACCTGTCGGTGTTTGAAGAATTACATATTCATCTAACACTTAGAGTACCCACAATCCATTTGTTTTTATAGAGGGGGGGACAGGTTATCTTTAGGGGAAGATAACAGGTCAACAGTATTTGCCATATACTGTCGAAATAGAATAGATGTAGTCATGGGCGTCGCAGCCATTATATGAGGGTGGGACAAGTCCCCCCCACTTTTTCAAATGATTAGTTTAGACCCCCCCACTTTTACTATGCGGAAAGTCCGTGAATCGGTCTATCCACTCGCCGCACTTTGTAGAGCGCTGTGTCAGTGCTTCACTATCAAATGAAATCCATTCCACTTGCTTATTGAGAGAATGCCCAAATCAATGAAACTCCGTACCATGTTTTCACTGCTACTTTGTACCAAGGCAGATTCTCACATAGCGCGCGCATGTTCAAGGAGTGTTGTCATAGTTGGACAGCTCAGATCTGTTGTATGAAGCGATGCCGGTAGCGGAGGTAAGGCACACACACCAAATGTTCAGGAAATGGTTAATACAGCGAAAATCAAAGCTGACGATCTCTTGGTTTGATATGTTTTCTCCCCCAGACAACATGGACATAAGAACATTTTTTTCAAAGAAGAGGAAAGTAAGTCATCAGCTGGTAGCAGTTAATCAGTTAACAGTGATGGCGGCGTCTCACTTCTGGAGAGGAGTTTCGTCTTTATGTCATGATAGAGAGATACAAATACTGAATAGTTTAGAAAAGGCATCGAAATGCCAGGTTACTAGTATTTATCATGTAAACAGGGAACATGAATAACCCGATCTCTCTGTGCTCATGTAAACACCATATCCCCAATATGATCATAACCGGGATAATACTCATAAACGGCTTACTGATGTCCATGTAGAGCGCAGTCAGTGTGTTTTACTGGAGCCTCAGTTCGATAAGAGATTATTTTCTGAGTTCTTTAACTTAGGTACTCTCTCTCAAAATGGTAATGTGCATTATGTTTTAATTATACTTATCAGAAGCTTTTTGTGTGTGTTTATGTTTTACTGAGTGCTTATAGGCTATTTCCATCCCAGTATTCAGTTAACTATTTATTTGCTGTGCACATTACATAGACTAGCTAATATTCTACCTACTGCTTGGGACTTTGAGTCTTCAAAATGTCCAATGTCACAGACTGGGACTTACTTTAGAATCAGTTGTATTTACATTCAGTATGACTTGTTATGATTCAATGTGAAAGAGTATACTGCTCAATAAATAATTATCACTTCACCACCTCTCTTGACATCTAGGCACTTGAGAGTGAGTCAGAGGCAGAATACAGGGACAGTGGAGAGAGGTCCATTGCTGAGGTGAGTGATGAAAGGGAAATGACAGTTGAGAGTAAATTGTGATGTGGACTCTCATCCAGGATTTTAAGGAAATCAGTGGGGATATTGAACAGGAAACATTTCAGTCAAGGGGCATCATATGACCAATATGGACAGAAGAGCAACATTTATTTGAACATTTAAGTCAATGATATCATTCCTAGGTGAACTTAACATCTGTATGGAGTCAGATCAGTCTCAATATTAATAAATGCTCACAGAAGGATTCACAAATGTATTTCGCGATTTATATATAAATGACTCTCCACAACAATATCTCTCAATGCACTCACAAATATTTATTGTTGTATATAAATGTACAAAAAAAGGGCATTTAAACTGCTTTTTATTAATTCAAAGACAGCTCTGAATTAATAATCAAATATGTTTCCTTTCTTTACTACTGGATGAAATTACAAAATGTACCCATCATTTTCCTCATGCTAGCCACATAAAAGTATCAAACCACCTGTTAAAATGCACCAGAATACAGGAAATCTATATTTTTTTTCGCCCCCACACCCCCCGTTAAAAATGTCCCCCCCACATTCAGGATGCTTCCTACGCCCATGGATGTAGTATTGATTTAAAAGGTGCAGCATTTTAAAATCTACTTTGTAATGTGTTTTTTACAGATGGTAATTGAAATGTACAGGTTGTGATTTTAGAAAAGGCATAGAACAATATGATGTAATCATTTGATGGCCATTCCCATGTTCTTTAATGTTCAAAAGTTGTTGAAACTTCTAGTAAAAACAGTGTGTGGATGTACCTGTAGCAGTTGTTGATTCAGGTTGCTCTGTAGTTTTAGGAGAAGTGGTCAGAGCTGTGAACAAAAACAAGCAGACACAAAGAAGTCCTGATGAGAGAAATGAGATCCTCCTGAGTGTCTGTGTGTGTCAGCTGTCAGTGAAAACTGTCTTCAGAGACATGAACAATCATTTTCATTATGAAGCATAAACTCACCATCAGTGACGTTGAGCCTAAACCTCTGGAATGGATCTTTAGAGTCAGGTCTGTCCAGACCACACCTGTACCATCCTGAGTCAGACTGGTTCAGCTGTTCAATGCTCACAAACACAAATCCTCCTTTAACATGTCTGATGCTGTATCTGCCTTTTTTAGTATATGTGTCACTAGTTGTTTCAACAAGAATGTCTCCTTCACATTCTTCCTTGCAGAAGAACATCTCGGTCTCAATGCGAGTAAAGGAGCATTCAACTACAATATTTCCCCCAGTTCTAGCATCGATTGTTTTTTCTGCAGAAAGACCACCATCAAGTTTTGCTGTTGAAAAACAAAACAATCAATAGTTACTATGTGTAGTTTACAAATCGTAGTTTCATTATTTATAACTTTGTGTTTTTTCAAACTTGATCCAGTCACTGAGGGATGAGGTGTGGCGATTTAAAGAAACAGAGTTTTAACTAAATATTTTCCAAGGAGATTTAGCAAATCATTATTTTACACTCTGCTCAAAATAGGATTTGATATAAATATATTTGGGATTAATATTACATTTGAATGCTTTAATAAAATCCTTGGCTTTGTAATTTTGAGTTATAACTAGTGTCTCATTGAGGTTAACTGATAATTAAATATGTGAACCTTAGAGATGATCTGTTGCAAAGACTGACATTTTGAAAGGATGTCTTTACCCCTTGAAAGTATCGTTTTTATATTATTATTTACCCTGAGTTACCTTAAATTAATTTGCTCATAACTTAGTAAAACATGACTTATCTAAACACTTCTGCATTAACAGTGCTTGAGAAAAGAGGAGCTTGTCTCTTTAAGCAGAAGTGTTTTAAATGGTGAGGTTTAAGCAGAATGCATGTTTTAGGGAAGTAGTGAGCATACAGTGAATGACATTAGGATTATACAGCATTAGTTGTGTAAGAGTTAACAAACAGATGTTTTAATATATTTTTGCTGTTGTAAAACAAAGCCCCAGTTAATTTCACATTTATTAAGACTTTTCTCCATTTTGGGATTCTTTGTTCACCGTGGAGTCATGCTAGAAAAAGTCTTCTTCACAAATTCAAGGTAACACAGGATGAGTAATTCATTGATCTAAAAATTGTAGTTTGGGGGTTAACGTATTCCTTTAAAGCCCCGACCGCAGCCACAAACAACCAGTTCAGTTGTTTTAATATTTTCTATTGATCTCAATCTATTACTTATTGTCTTACTTTTCAACAGAACACAGAGCTGTCTCATAGACTACTACATTCGGCAATGGAAAACACACAACAGACCAATATTCTCCTGACCCTGGTATTAAATTCCTCGTCACTAAAATATCACTTGAAACAACAATAACTGTGTTCTCTACAATAATATTCAAATACACTTGTGTACGTGTGTCAGTTTTGGTTTATCTGTTACTTTCAGAAGACATGTAGGATTAAGATGAGGTAAATATTCATGTTGAACTTGAGTTTTTCTTCGCCACATCTAAACTGTAGCTCATGTGCACATGACAATAAAGCATTGAAATTGAAAAAAAGTAGGTGAAAAGGTAA